TTTCACATGCATATGAGGCAATTGAAAATACCATGGCTTTATCCAGGGGTATCTTAGTCATCAAAGTGACTTCTTTCCTGTTTAACACTTTAAAGTGGTCTTTTGCAACCAAAGATACATGGAAACAGTAGTCAAAGTGACTGGTACACCATGCAGTCCTCAGCTTATATGACTATTCAACCAGAAGAATTAGGTGGGGCCTGGCTACCACTGTCCACCACTCGGAGGGGGATCTATATAGGAGAGCCTGGATAGGGTGAGAGAACAATCTGGAACAAAACTCAAAATCATTAAAAAAAGAAAAGAATAAAGGGGACCAGCTTTGCTGGTCTGATTGAGTCTGATGGAACCACTGAGACTATGGCCCCTAGCTGTCCTTCAGATCTGAAATTGAACCCATTCCTGTGGCTTCCAGCCAAACTAAAGACAGGCATATGAGCTGAACATTTACATTAGGTAGACACACTCCTTGGAGAGAACAATCATGGGAGAATAGAAGGGCTGTGTATGTGCAGAGAACAGCTCAGGGCAGGAGTACATGAGAGGGAAGGACACAGGGAAGAGGTAACTACAGGGAATAAGTGGGAGGGGAGCTGTTGCATTGTGGGAAACTGCATTCAGTATCATGAGACAAAGTGTATGTGAGCTGCTGTACAGAAAGTGAATTTGCTCAGTAAACTTATACCCAAATCACAATAAAAAATTAAATAAATGGGTAAAGAAAACCTCAAAATTAAAGTAGTCTTTTGCAGCCAATTTGCCCAATCATTTGATTTTTTGACTGCTGTTTCCATGGGCATTGATTGTTTATCCAAGCAAAATGAAATGCTTGAAAACTTTAATCTTTTCTCTGTTTATCATGATGTTGCTCATTGGTCCAGTTATCAGGACTTTTGTTTTCTTTATGTTGAGATGTAGTCCATACTAAAGGCTGTAATGTTTGATCTTCATCAGTAAGTGCTTCAAGTCTTTACTTTCATCAAGCAAGGTTGTGTCATCTGCATATCACTGGTTATTAGTGAGTTTTCCTCCAATTCTGATGTCACATTCTTCTTTCTATAGTCCAGCTTCTTGGATAATTTACTGAGAGTAAAGACTGAGTAAGTATGTTGAAAGGGAACAACCAAGATGCACATCATTCCTGATTTTAAACCATGCAGTATCCTCTTATGCTATTTGAATGATTGTCTCTGCTCTGTGTAGATTCTGCATGAGCAAACTTAAGTGCTCTGGAATTCCCATTCTTCAAAATGTTATCCATTATTTGTTATGATCCACACAGTTGAATGTTTTTGCATAGCCAATAAAACACAAGTAAACATCTTTCTGGTATTGTCTACTTTCACTCAAGATCTGTCTGACATCAGTAATCCCTTGTTCTATGTCCTCCTCTGAATCCAACGTGAATTTCCAGCAGTTCTCCATTGATGTATTGTTGAAACTGTTTTTGAATTAGTTTCAGCAAAATTTTACATGTGTATGATATTAATAATATTGTTTGACAATTTCCACATTTTGTTGGATCACCTTTCTTTGGAATGGACACAAATATGAATCTTTTCTAGCTGGTGGTTGGCCAGTTAGCTGTCTTCCAAATTTCTTGCCATATATGAGTGAGCATTCTACTGTTGCATCCATTTGTTGAAACATTTAAATTGGTATTCCATCAATCACTGGAGCCTTATTTTTTTGCCAATGCTTTCATGTAGCTTGGACTTTTTCCTTCAATATCATTGGTTCTTCACAAACTTAACAAGCCTAGGACACATTAAGTATGCAACTCTGAGAGCCATTTTTTTTTTCCTGCAGTGTTCCCTCCCCTCCTCTCCCACCCTTAAACCAACAAAGAAAGTTTCCTTCCATATATGAACTTTTCCTTGACTTTTTACAATAATGAACTAATACAATATTTGTCCTTCTGTGATTGACTTATTTCACTCAGCATAATGTCCTCCAAGTTCATCCACATTCTGCAGTGTTTTGCAAATTCTACATTATTCTTTATTGTTGTATAGTATTTCACTGTGTGTATGTACCATAGTTTGGTTATCCATTCTTCTGTTGATGGGCACCTAGGTTATTTCCATCTTTTTACTATTGTAAATTGTGCTGTGATGAAAATGGGTGTACATATATGAGAGCCAATTTTTAAGAGTAGGAAAAAATAATGTAACACACTGTGAACATATGTGAAGAGGCTATCCTCTAAAGGATAGCGAAGGAGAGATTCTGACATAGAGACTGTTTTCAAAGAGGAACTGCCTCCACCTCAGATTTGGGCATGGGCAGTGGTAATCACAGGGTAAACCTTCCAGGTAGTGCCTAGAGCTTAAACGGATACCAAAGATGTCCCCTCCCACTCTTTCAGGTGCTTTGGGCCCTGCAGAGAAGTGTCCAAGCAGATCTAGGTCAGAGAGTGTCTATTTTTTTATTATTTTTTTATTTTTTAGACAGGATCAGATGTTTATAAAACAAGTGAATATTCATAAACAAACTGTGGGAGAAACACACCTTCCCAGCAATAGAAAAATCTCTATATGAAGTGCATTTTGCCTGTGGCCATCTCTTCCCCATGCTGGCCCTTGGATCAGGATTTACATCACACTGTGGCACCCCCTGGCCACCCAGGCTAGAAGAGGAGAGGCATGAGGCCCTGGCAGAGCTCCAGGTCACTGGCTGGACCTTCTCCTCCTCTGCCCCTCCAGCTCCAGGGGTGAACTGCCCCACTCCACTGCAAGGTTGTCCTGTAGATAGGCCAGCATGGCAGACAGGGTGGACAAGGAGGGGAAGGGGTCCTGTCAACTTGTACCTTAGGGAAGAGAGCCACCATCAAAGTAGCAGGAAAAAGGAACCATCTTGATGTTTAAAGGTGCTGCTAAACAAATGCTGAATTTGGCCCGAAGCCCTCTGCCTTCTCCATTCGCAGACTAGCCCTTCCAGGCTCACTTGACTCCCCTTATGGCAACTGCTCAATTCCCTCTCCTCCTGGCTGAGGCTGAGGGGACAGAGAAGCCCCCAACCCAGAGCTCCAAATACACACCATTTGTTTGCTCTGTTCTCCCCACATGACTATGGGGCATTTCTAGTGAAGGTGACATATATACAACAATTGGGAACTAAAGGAAGCTGTTTGGCTGAGAAAACCTGAGGCCCTCTCAGGAAGAAGCCTGTCGATGTGTTGGACAGCATAGGAAACAGGGGTGTGACCCCAGGCTTCTGGTGCAAGGACAGAGAATAGCGAGGGACAGTGCTGGGGCCAAAGGACTTAACAGCTATAAGCTTAGGAAATGTCACAGGAGAGGTAGAGAGGAGACGGGCGAAAGGTCAGATTAATGTTACATGTGAGGACAAAAACCCAAAGAGGAATCTGCCTCTCACCTACATGTGCACAGTACACACACACACACACACACTGACACACAGGCACACACAAAGACACATATACACACAAACTTTGTGGCTCAAGTGCAGGCCACAGCATGGAAGGAAGACTTGCTCCAGTTGACCACACAATGCTTCATTTCACGAACTCTTGCCTTTCAGTCAGTTCTGACACATACAGACCCTATGCACAACAGAACAAAACACTGCCCCATCCTGTACCACCCTCACAGTCATTGCTATGCTCAAGTCCATCATTGCAATAGCTGTGTTAATTCATCTCATTGAGAATCTTGATATCCACCAGAGACTGGTCTTTTCTGAAAATATGACCAAAATAAGATAAATGATATCTGGCCATTCTCCCTTCTAAGGAGAATTCTGTCCGTACTCCCAAGACAGACCACATCTAGAGCTGACAAAGCAGGAGGGAATCCAGGGGCTCCTGTGTGGAAGCTGGAGCTTAGAGGTTGCTGGTGTCAACAAAGACAATTAAGGCATACTGAGGCGTACTTGGAAACCAGTAATATTTGTTTTAGAAGAGCTTCCACTAATAACTAACTTCTGTACCTAGTGTTGATTTTATTGATGATAGCACCTTTGAGGTGGCATAGTGCCTAAGACATTTGGCTGCTAACCAGAAGGCTGGCAGTTCAAACCCACCAGCCACTCCCTGGAAGGAAGGTTGTGCAATCTACTTCCATAGAGATACCACCTCAGAAACCCAAGGAGGGGTTGCTGTGAGTCAGATCAGACTCAACAGCAGTGTTTGGTTTTTTGTTTGGTAACACATTTGAACCACACAATGACTTTTTTATTATCCTCATTTTGACAATGAGGAAACAGACATAGAGAGGTGAAAAGACTTAGCCAGGCTCACCTTTCTTTCTTTCAACAAGAGCTGAGCAACAATTTCATGCAACTCAGCTACCTCCCTATAGAGATTTTGTCAAATTCCTAACTCCTTTGAATCTCATTTTACTTATGTATTAGTTGGAGATCATCATAGCCACAACCCAGAGCTATGGTTAGGGTTAAATAATAACAAGTAAGCAGAAGTGTTTTGATAAGACAGTATTGTAAAGGCTCCATGGGAGGCTTTCTGTAAAATAATCTTGGGAGGTGATATTCTGTACCATTGTAACCAAGTAGTGGTTTCAATGATAGAGATCAGTGCCCAGCACAACCATGGTGATATTTTTGGGACATTTAGGAGCTCTGGTGGTGTAGTGCCTAAGACATTTGACTGCTAGCCAGAAGACTGGTGGTACAAATCCATCAGCCATTCCTTGAAAGGAAGATTGCATAATTTACTTCCATAGAGATACTGCCTTGGAAACCCAAGGAGGAGTCTCTATGAGTCAGAAATTATTTCATGGCAGTTGAGTTTGGTTTGTCTTTTTGGTGGGACATTTAGCTACTTCTTAAATAATATAGTATGGACCACCTCCTATACAGCTATGTCCTGGGATCTGGGGGAAAGTGGGTGTCCATGAAAGTTCTTAGTTCCCCCATTGAGACGAAATTATTACCTCACCTCAATGGAACTTCACACCAAAAAACCTTTATCCCTATCCCCACCATCTCAATTAGTAATCTTCGGAACTTCTCTTGAACAGATGCCCCTCTTGAACTGTCATTTCCTGAAGGGTTACAGAGAACAGCGCCTGGCCCACTTGGTCCTGAGTTTTATCACCATGGGTTATGTCTGGCAAGAAGGAGAGACACAGCCTGAACAGGTAAGGGTCAAATAGATATCTGATCCATCATCTGGCAGGTTCCTTGCACTGCACTCTCTACTTGGTATTCTATTGTTTTCCTGGAAAAATGGGCCCTTTCTTGTTCTGTTCTTTGGGTGTCAGTTGTAGGAAGAGTAAAGGGACAATTTAAATGAAAGGTCTTTTTGTCCAGATTAGGAATTTTCAAATTGTCTTTGAAATCATTAGACCTTTTCCTCTTTCATTATCTTTTGAATCTATTTTCTCTTACATCTTCTCCAAGAATATTTGAAGAGATGTATTTGAAGGTAGGCTATGAGAACTCATTAAAAAAAAATCTTATGATACCTTACATTTTATGGCATTATGTAGTCCTAGACATATCACTTATCTCAATCAATTTTCATAACCCTATAATGTTATATGGCTACTCTATACACATGTTACAGAAAACTGAGGAGCACAGAAGTTATATTCCTTCCCTAAAGTCCATCCCAAGTTAATGGAAGAGCAAGGGCCAGAACCCAGATCCTCTGATTTCAATAGTTTGCTTTCTTTCCCCAGAGAAGGGATACAATGGTATTCAAACACTAGACCTATAAATATATTATTATAGTTAAATATAATATAGTTA